ACTTTCATAGGAAGAAAAGGAAAGGATCAGCCCTCAGACACTCATCAAAACTGCACAAAGGAAGAGAAGAACCTCCTCCCCTTACCCCCTCCACCCCTCCCCCTCCTACCCCCCAGACTGCCCGCCCTTAACTCTGCCCAGTGATCCAGAACCTTCTAATACTGGTGATGGAACAGTCCTCCTTCACTATCAAGGAAATCATCTCACAGGAATATTAAACTACATATTCTATTATGTGGGCGGCTCCTGGAATAGAGGCTATTAGTCCTCTTGATGTTACTGGTGATGATCAGTGTCCTGATGGTGAGTATCTCAACCTCTTTCTCTCCCTCTCTCTCCTGATCCTAATGTACCAGCTCCTCTCCTGATCTAATGTACCAGCTCCTCTCCTGATCCTAATGTACCAGCTCCTCTCCTGATCCTAATGTACCAGCTCCTCTCCTGGTCCTAATGTACCAGCTCCTCTCCTGTTGCTCCTGTTTTTATTAATGCATGTAGTTTTAGCCTTACTACAGTTTAGTCAATGAAATACCATACCTACCAGCCAATGGAATGCACAGTATCCAATTAATTAAACTGATCAATAATACACAACTGATGATAGTCTCATTACACTCTCTCTCTCTCTTACCACTGAAACTGGTTCATGTTTAAGTCTCTACTGACACTCCAGAGCTGTAAAGAAAAGTCCTTAATCAGTACATACAGTATTAGTTCATTTACTTACATCAGTCCTTTATCACGCAACACTCCAGTAGGAAAGATCCTAAGGAAGCTACGGGTCAGCGGTGGTCATGAATGAAAAAGGCGCCATTTTAAACACGTGGAATGAGTGGGAAGTGATTTATAGGCGTGGCTACGGTGTAAGAATAAAGAGTCTGAGCTGCTTTTTTCAGTCCTACATGTACATGTAGCTGTTGTAGTTGAAGAGCTGCAAGACTTAAAGGGAGTCTGGATTGAGCTTGGTAAGATATGAGAACAGATTGATGGGTTAAGGGACAAACCATGGCTCTCTGTCCAGCCTAGAAAGGTAATTTAGATCAATTAATGTGCATGCATGTATATGTACATGAATTGTGATATTATTGATATTACAATTGTGGTACTGTCATATTGTATATTGGTAGTTATAATCACATATATGATATACATGTAACATTCATACTTTGATTAATACCTTATTGTGATTCCCTTTCTATTCACTTTATTTCTTACTATACAACCTACATACTACATGTATGGTCTTTTTTCACTGATATTTTCTATTACCTGTACATGTATGTATTTTTATTTTATTTTATTTTTTATATTTTCTCTCTCTCTTCCATTAGATAAGACAGTCTCTTGATGGTCTCCTCACTCAAATGAAATACTTTCCTGCTTGTCTCAAGTCCTACGCCTCCTTTGAATTCGTCCAAAGAATGATTAGGAACTATCTCAAAGTTAATCAAACGATAGCCTCACTCAAATCAGAAGCCCTTAAAGTGAGCAACCAATTAAGTCATGTGATCATCATAAAATGTCATGTGACCTGCCGTTACATGTACAGTAGAGGTCAAAAAAAAGTTCACGTTTTACATTTACAAAACGATAAAAATACGTTAAGTATTACGATGGTGATACAGTGCGACCAGTTGCTTCATTGTAATTAATCCGTTCGTTTATTACGATTAGAATGCGTTTTTACGGCGTCTATACGGTTTCGTAAGTGTCGTCATCGCTTTCGTCATGGGGATGGGCTGGGCAGAAGAGTCACGTGCGCTCATGACACACGCGCACACACACAGTAGTGGTACTGACACAGCAGCTTCTGTAGCGTGTTCTTCGAGGTCTTCTTTGCTTTCTCTCTCCTCTTTCTTGACACTGATGTGACTGGCCAACAATGTTGCGCTCAATTTTGAAGGACTCTGCAACTAAAGGTAATTTTGGTGTGAAATTTTTGCTTATAATACGTACCTTAAAGTAGATGATAAAAGATTCGTTCTCGTACACTTTCCATCTGATAATACTACCTCTATTGTTAAAATTGGATGTGTCATTCCAATAGAAGATTCTGTAGTAATTGGGGCTCAGTGCCGAGTAAAAGAAAGGAGAAAGGTATATGAAGGAAAAATTTTAGGAATTGGTAAGTTCCACCTGGCCTATTTGTTGGAATATTATGATACTCACATAGGAGATGACATGAATGAGCTTGTAGCTATAGAAAATGCTTTCCTTGAGAGTGATTCAGAAGAAGATAATGAGGAACTTGGTGAGGTGAATGGAAATGAAGATGCTGGCAACAGTAAAGTACAGGAGAAGAAAGATGCTGGCAGTGGTATAGTACATGAGAAGGAAGATGCTGGCAATGGTAAAGTACAGGTGAAGGAAGATGCTGGCAACAGTAAAGTACAGGTGAAGGAAGATGCTGGCAACAGTAAAGTACAGGAGAAGGAAGATGCTGTCAAAGGTAAAGTAATATATGATAGCAATAATAATAGTAATAATAAAAATGATAATAATAATGTTGTCTTTTTATAATAATAATAACAACAATAATAGTGATAAGAATATATTTTTACCTTCTGTCTATTAATTTTGTTCCTTTTTTGTTTTGCTGTTTTTTGGGCTCTCCCTCTCCTCCTTTCTGTATATTTATCCTCTTGTTGCCCTTTTCTCTCTCATTGATAGTTTATAATAATAATAATAATAATAATAATAATAATAATAATAATAATAATAATGATAATACTGATAATGATAATACTGCAGAAGCAACAACAGTAATACATGTACATGTAATTTGACAGCTGTATACTGTAATACTAATAATGGTGGTAATAATAACAATTTAAATTTTGGGTATTACATTGTATTTATAGAGAAGTCGAAGAAAAGGAAGGCTCAGAATCATTCTAACCAGGGCAACAAGAAACAGAAAGGTATTATGTTGTTATAATGAATCATAATGATTTTTAATTTTTTTATAATGCAGTTGATAAAAATAAAGAAACAAAGCAGAAAAATGAAAAGCCAAAGGGATCAATTATTGTTATTGACTATAATGAACCTGAGAATGATGCTTCTACTGCTACTTCTACCTTAGCTATAAATGGTAAGAACATATTACTTACAGTGCAATCTACTCTGGCATATACAATGTAGAAAGTGGATCAGAAGATTGTATAACTGAAGGTGACAAGGCAAAAACAGATACTGATCATAAAGACAATGGTAAATTCATGTTGATTAATACACCATGCACCCTCCCTCCTTCTCTCCCCTCTCTCATTATACATGCAGTTTAATGGTTAACGTGCAGTGCATATCTTTCTTTATTTTGTCATTGCAGATTCAGTTTTCTTGGAGCTTAACATTCAACTTGATCTATTTGAGACTAGGCTCAATGCAATGGAGCAATCTCTCAGTGATATTGTTCAAAGAGTATCTCAATTAGAGAATGGTAAAGGTCCTCCTCATACACAGTCACCAATTCTTGTTGATCGGCGAAATTCTTTACCACAACAGTATAGTACACCTTATTATTCATCTCAGCATGTAAAGCAACACAACTACCAGTACCAGCACATGCAGGCCTCTTACCTACCAAAGCAGCAAGATACTTCTGACTTTTTTGCACTTTCTGATGAAGAAGAAGATGACCCTCCCCCCCTCCCTGAGCCTGTCCAACCAGCTTCTAATGCTTACTCAATGCCTCCCTATCCAATTTTACCTTACCAACCAGCTCAATATTTGCAACCAAAACAGCTGGTACATGCCTATGAAGAAGATTCCGTATCACCGAATAGTCAAGTTTCGAAATGTTTTCCGATTCTAGGGAAGACAAAGAAGGGCCAACAAGTTAGCCTTTCAAGCATGGAAATAAATAAAGAAAACCTTTGTTGCCATGACATTGTAATAAAAAAGAATATTCATTTGCATAAGGAGGCTCATGTAGGGAAACTGGCTGTCAAGCTAGCTAAGGAATGTTTTTTTGGGGAAGACATATTAAAGAAGTGCACAGTGATGGGATGCCGAAATATACCTGCTCTGCCATTGAAGGAATTAAATGACTTAAAGCAAGTGATTTTTAAACTGTTTCCAAGTTTTTGGCAAAATCCTGCTGGATTTGAAACTGAAATTTGGTCTCAATGTGTCAATTCCATTGGGCAACTTTGTAAAAGGCTAAGAAGTTCTTGAGAGTTGTTTATTGCAAAGATAATTATTATTAATTATGAGAGATGTTTAATAATAGTATTATAATTATTGTTAAGTTATTAAAGATTATATTGTTAAGTTATTAAAGATTTATTACTAATAGCTAGTGCACGATTAAAGATAATACAAAATGAAAAATCCTAGAAATGGATTAGAATGTTAAAATGCTTATTGTATTAATATCCTGTAGCTCCTCCTTGGACTTCCATAACTTTTGGAATCACTTTCTTCAAATGATTAATATATTTATTACATTTAGCAACAGTCACTGTCCTCCAAAATGCCTTAATCCCTTCAATCAACTCATTCTTTGTTCTCGGTTTTACCTCTCTACGAATGAACTCCTAAAAATGTTAAAATAAATTCCTTTTTAATTTACTGTAATTATTTAGTCTTCATGTACGTAGTCCTGTATTATGTTGTAGTAATTATCATTGTCATTATTTACAATAAAAAATAAAACGGTCACATGTCGACATGCAATTATTGTTAGTTTATAAATTCTATGAATTACAATAGTAGTTATTGTATGCTACTCCCATTAGACTTAAAACGAACTTTTAATTCATGCCAGAGATTCTCAATGGGATTCATGTCTGGTGATTCAGCTGGAGTTCGCCACCAATATATCTCATTTTCATCAAGAAACTCTATAGCCAATTTGGATGTATGCTTAGGGTCATTGTCTGCCATAAACCTGTGACCATCTGGATATTTGTCTTGAATAAAAGGCAATAGAGTCTTTTCTAATATATCAATGTACAAATACTTGTCCATAATCCCTTCAAATATGCATATACCAGTACGTCCTCTTTTGCTAATTCCTGCCCATACGTGAACTTTAGTGGGGTGTTTAGGGCTATAGAATAATTCACAAGAAAGTAACTATACCACAAAAAAGAATGACACTTACCGTGGCTTCAACCGTGCAGGCTGACCTTTCTTTCGACAACAAAACCGCCTGTGAGACTCCAGCTGCACAGTGCATTCGTCTGTATATATCACATTCTCAAACTCATCATCCTTGTATTGCCTCACAAACTCTAGCCTCTTCACCTTATTAGCATCTCTAATCAGCTGGCAGTAGGCACTGCCTCTAAAAGTCCAGCCTAATTTAGTCCTACATCTTAGTACTGTTCTCAAAGATATGCCATAGCCTTTACCCTTCAGCAACTCATGGAGCTGATGCGCTGTAGTTTCATCATCCTTCTCCATCTGCTCTTCCACGAATACCATAATCTCCTCGCTCATTTTTGATGGTCTGCCCGAGCCTGGTCTACGAAGAACACATCCAGTATCGCCGAATCTGCAAAGTAGCTTGTGAATACCTTCTCTTGAAGTCTCAATACCCTCTTTAACTAGCTCTTTATAAATGGATGGAGCTTTAAAGCCATTACTATAGTAGTAAAGGATCCTTTCCTTTGTATAAGCAGAGTAGACCATCTGCTTGTTGCGCATGCAGTTCAATGAAACCACGCCTATTATAGATTAAGATTATAATAGGCACACGCCTCTTTCAATTATCACTAGCACTGCATGCACTGCACACTCACGCATTATGACGTTGTAAATAAACGATGCGTTCTGTTTTTACGCTGTAAAAAAGGTACAAGACAAAAACAAAACGATTGGTTGCGTTTTACAGATGTCTCAGTACCGTAAAACGTGAACTTTTTTTTGTCCTCTACTGTACATGTACAAAAATGAAAAGGTGTGACACATGTACTTGTATGCATTTTTTGTTTTAGGAGAGACATTAGAAGCAGCTGAAAAGGAAACTGGGCATGTATTCTACATAATATACAATATTTATTGTCAATTTTTAACTTAGCTCAGACACACATACATGTACATGTTCATCTATATAGTGTTATGTTTTTACTCGTGTTGTGTATTGTACATTACGATACACTGAGAATGATGCTTTCTAGTAAATATTATTTTTTATCTTTTTTTGCGGCTTAAAGTTACAGCTGGTATTGTGTTAGTGCCCAGTTGTCGTTCCCGTCACAAACATCAATATTTATTAATTAATTAATGTGTCTTCTATCCAGTGACATGAGCCATCGAATGATGTTACTGGACGTTTGGACACACACTCACACGTCACATGGCTATCACATGGTCTATTATTATTGATTAATTATTTATTTATTAATTATTTATTATCTAAATAATTTATCATTTAAGTTGCTCAAAAATTGAGTCAAAGTCCCTATACTATAGTATAGGGGCATCGGCCAAATTTTGCCAAAAATGTCAATTAGAGAATTCTCAATTTTTAAACATTTTCTGATACATATACATGTTCTTATGTTGTGTAGAAAGTTTGAGTTGATTCCGATCAAATTTGGATTTTATACAAATTTTTAAAGTTGCTCCAAAATCAGGTCAAAGTCCCTGTACTATGGTACAGGGGCGTTAGCTAAATTTTGCCAAAATTAAAAAGTAGAGAATTATCAGTTTTTGTAATATTTACTGATACATATACTTGTCCTTATGTTGTGTAAAGTTTGAGTTGATTCCGATCAAATTTGGATTTTTAATGAATTTTTAAAGTTGCTCAAAAAGCCATGTACTGAAAAGCCTCAAATATAGCCAAACACCCAAATGGATCTAAAATGCTAAATTAATGCACACAATTAAAAGTGAACTTGAGGCACTTTTATTCATTTTATTTCTTTGTAATAATTGTGTACCTTATTGTATTGATAATATTGTATCGTCTTTTCTCTCTCTCCTATAGTTGAGTTATGCTGATATGATGAAGAGAGTTGATCCGTTACGTAAAGAATTGAAAGATTTGGAAACCAAAGCTGAGGACACTCGTCAAAAAGGAGAAGAAATAACAAAAATAATAGCAGAACTTGAAGCCTCTATAGCAAAGTAAAGAACAAAACAAAACACATTAAAAGTGAAACTTATATTTTTAATTTTATTTCTTTACTTAGATATAAAGAAGAATATGCAATGGTTATATCTGATGCTAGTGTTATTAAGAATGATTTATCAACTGTTGAGAAAAAGGTAAAGTATTTTAATAATTAAAGATACATTAATTATCTTTTATTAATAATTTAATTCATTAATTATTCATTAGGTGAGTTCCTCCTTCGTTTGTGTCACTTTGAGAAGAGTCTCCTCACTGCATTGAACGAGGTCAAGGGTCGTATCCTAGACAACAACAGGTACCCTCAATTCTAATAATACATGTACTTAGTAACACTACCACATTACTAATAGTACAGGGTGTTGGCCAAATTTTGCCAAAATTGAAAAGGAGAGAAATATTAGTTTTAATAATATTTTCTGATGCATATACATTTACTTATGTTTTGTAGCAAGTTTGAGCTGATTCTGATCAAAATTGGATTTTTATGAATTTTTAAAGTTACTCAAAAATTTGTGTGAAACATGATTATTGACAAAATAATGTAATGAGATGCAAATGATATTCACGAGCATAATACTCAATGCAACATCATGGGGGCCTCTCTAAGTCACTAGAACAATTGCAACATGTGGAGTTAACTTCAATTAATTAACTGTTACTACTACATGTATATCCTTGCTTGTTTAGAATGAGTCAAATGTTTAGTTGTTTATACCGTATAGCGGGAAATTTTGGAGGGACTAAAATTGGGCAAATTGCTAAATTTTGGTGAATGGCAGATATTATTTTGGCGAATTAGTGGCCACATGCCATTGAGCATGCGTATAATGGCTCAAAATGGTGGATTTTATTTTGGCGAATGGCTAT